TCTCTCATCCTCCTCCTTCTCCCTTCCCCCCCTCGCTCTATACGCGTCGCTCTATCTCTTGCTCGTCCTCGCTCTCCTCCGTCCTCATCTCCCTCACCCCCTTCGTTCACCGGCTTCTCTCCGTCCTCCTCTCGCCGCCAGACTTTATCCCCTCTCGCCATCTCTTCTCTCTTTCTTCACGGTACACGCGATCTATGTCCCCCTTCATCACATGCCACCCCGAACCCGATCCCTCTTTCTCTCTGTGTGCTCTCCGTACGTCTTCTTGCCTCTCCAAACGAGTTTTCCTCTCCGATTCTTTCGTCCTTTCATTCTTCTGTAGAGTCATTCCATCTCGTTTTCGCGTTTTCTACGCTTCCTTTCTATCTCACTATCCTGCCCTCTCGTTCATGCTGTTCCTCCTCAATCGTATCATCTTCCTCGCTCCCTTTAAACACCTTTCTCGCTCTTTCGTTCACCTCCACTCGTGTTCGTTTCCTCTCTCGGTCCAACTCGCCGGGACCCCTTCGTATCTCGTCGTTCGTCTCTCTCCATCCCCTTGGACTTCTCCTCGCCCACTCCCTCTTCCATTCCCTCTAGCCTCTCTCATCTCTCGGCAAGAACCAGTACCACCGCACACCCACGCCATCACCCCGTAACCTCCCCGATCGCCCTTTTCCACGCTCCTGACCGGGAATGCGCCCTCGTCTCCCACTCCCTTTCTCTTCGTCTCCCTCTCACTCTCTCTTTCCCTCTCTTTCTCCCCTTCGTCTCTCTCAAGTCTCTTCATCTGTTCGCTTACCCTTCCTAGCCTTCCTTCCCTTCACCCATTCTCATCTTCCCTTCGATATGCACCCTACACTACTATCGCCCTCCGTCGCGAGGCCGAAACTCCCTGGAGGAACGTCGAGGAGCCGAGTGTCGGCGGAATCCTCCGCAAGGAACTGCACACCTCCGCAATCTTCCATCGGCGATGCCTTCAATCACATTGACGGCCTACACAATCTTTTTATTAAGTTTCGCGATCGACATGATTCCGTCAGTGCAAATAATCGAGACAAGCTTCTTTACTCATTCGTACGTGCTAATTCGTATAACGCCAGTTCGAAGTGAATGACGCAATAGTGTTGTTTCGCCATCATGACACCTACATATTTTATTTTTGAGATCTATTTCGAGAGCGAGCAGATTAAATTTTTTACGTAGAAACTTCTTCGTTGATTTATTTGTCTTCAGTTTTTTTTGTTTTTCATAAATAATCTTATTTTCGCATGTTCGGATAATGATATCAACTTTAACAATCAAGTGCACATATGCGAATCTCATTCTATTTCTCGCTCCTTGACTGATTTGTTTGTGTTCTTTATTAGAATTTTATATTCAATTTCCTATTAATTAATGACGTCACTGGCTTAATTATAACTGATTTATGCATTATTATATAATAACAATTATATAATAATTTTTTTTATTTTTAACGGTGTCACACAATATTAATTTTTTCTGTATATGTATACATATTCTTACAGATTTCACTTTGAAGCCTATAATTGTTTGCCGACCTGGTTATCGACGGAGTCGCAAAATTGAAATAATTTTTCTCAACTGTATTATAAATACAATATATTCTAACAAATATATATAACTTATGATATGATCTCTCTCTGTAACATAAATGCAACGCAAATTCAAATCTGAAGAAATAATAACTGAAACAATATCTTAACAGAATTATAAACACTTTCTGTTTTGTAAAATATAATAGAGAACTACGTTGATTAATTCCTGTTGTTTTTCAAATATCTTTATGTTTTAAGAGAACCAATATAATAAAATAATATTTTACAACGCATTATCGACTGTCGTTAATAGTTCTCCAGCTTAATCCGGTCTCGCGATCGAAATTCTGAGATCAAAAACAACTCGAGACCCGTAGGACATGCAGATGCGTTCGGATTCGCAACTTCGCAGGTCACACTTCCGGACGTATCGATCGCACGAACGACGAAAGATTCATCTTGGACGTCGAGTGACGGCCATCTGCGCATTATTCGCTCTCCCACGATTTTAGCGCGAGCGAGATGCCATGACTGCAGGAGCGAATCGATTGGCATATGCAGGCCCAATTAGGGATGCGGCCGAGAATTACTTCGAGAATTACGAAAGTACCTTACACCATCGTTTGAATTATTTTCTTGAGAGAGGTTTCATAACGAGAGAGGCCCCAATTACTTTCACGAATAATTCCGCGCGCTGCCAGAGGAGCCGGTCGACGATCGCATAAAACGTTTAGCCAGACAAATCTCCGGCGCGACAAAACGGCTTCCTGATTTTTTTTTTTTTTTCTGAGGCCAGTTCAAGCACCGCGGCTGGCGCGAAACAACTAAGATTCTGTGATACATAACGGTATCGATACTTTCGCTGGCAGATTTGTCGTAAAACGCATCAAAACCGAGAACCTGTAATTAAAATCTTACAATTTTAATGCCGTAGATGTATCGAATTCGATATTCGAAATTCAAAAGCTGTAATTATTGAGAATAACTCTAATTTAAACAATCAATCAACTGCCGTACCTTGTATACACGTCGGAAAACTCGGAATAATTTTTTTTCTTATTAAAAAAGAACAAATTACAACAAGTGGCGCTGGGATTGAGTCTATATTGCCAATTATATAATATACATTACGTTCTTTTCAAGTGTATAAATCTAATGATTATTACCGAGAAATGTATAAAGAATGAAAAAGTTTATAAATAACTGATATCGGAATAATTCGAAATTACTTGAAGGTGCTGCGTCTCTTGGAAACGAACTGGAAACTGGTATCGAACGATTAGCCGATGGTAAGAAGAGGTTCGCGCGAATATTACACCTCCTGCATTATCGGCGCCAGGATTAATGAGTTATAAACGTTCTTTAGAGCGTATCGAATTATCAAGATAAATTCGCGATGCTTACATCGAGATGCTTTCCAGCGGATTGATTTCTTCTCCGCAATGATCCGAGAATGTGTCGTATCGCGGGGGCACCCTTTTTACTCGCGGGCATTAACTAATTGAAACAGCGGAGCGATGGGGAGAAGCGGGGCGGGTGGTCTAAAAAGATTTACACGAAGAGTAAAAGCACGAGCAAAAACGAGCGGGCAACAAAAAGACCGACGTCTCTGGAAGGAGGGACCAGGGCGCCAGGAATGTTCTCGGGCAGCCGTTGTCGGTCTCATTGTTATCGACCCGCTGGGATCTCTGGCGTCATTGCTAACGTGATCACGTCGCGGCTATCACCTTCCTACCGGGCAGCACCTTCCACGGCTTCCACATCCATGCCGTGACGTAGTTCATGCTCTACCGCGAAAGGTCGTAGCAACGTCCGAATATATATATTTTGGACCGAGAAAATGTTTGCTTTTAGGAAAAGTCGCGGAAATAAAGAAAGAAACTTTTCTCGTCGAAATTAGATGTTATTCCCTTAACCCTGCAAAAAAGTACCTAATTAGATCATTTAATTACGCTTATTTAGCTGCATAGATATAATCTATATAATTTAATGGAATCAATAAATCTAGGCAACAAAGCAAATTTTGAGTTTAAGAGCTTTATCATTTAGACTTATTCTTTTCGGTCATTACACGACTTATTTTACTAATATTTTTTTATTATTTTGCAACAATTATTTTTATATAATATAAGCAATTTTTTTGCGTTTTCTATTCTCTTCGTTCATTTTCGAGTTGCAATTAACTATTGTTATTAAAAATATATTTCGATCAACTATAAATTATGATAAAAACTAGCACTATTTTTATACAATAGTATCTGGGACATCATTTATCACACGTTTATCGTTATTTTCATGAGAAATAAAAGTTCTCTAGATACTACTAAATTTATTTAGATGATAAATATGCAATTATGGATTATGCAGCAATTCATATGAGTCCTATATTTGTTATCGCTTCATAATAAGCGGAAAAAATGTACGCTTTACGACTACGAAGAACGGGTTGCATACTACTGGGTTATAAAGATAAATCTAGCGCAAAGCTATACCTTTCTTGTGCTAATCTGACTAATCAGCGACGTGTTGGAACAGTAAGAATAGTAGATAAAAATAGTTTTGACCTTCTTAATTTTTATAGCAATATCCTTATCTGTATTCTAGTCACGTGTTGCGACTTCTTATGACTTCTTATGACAGCACACATATGTAAATGTACCTCCATATGCGCAAATCTTATTATGTTATATGTATGTTTGTATTAGTAAATTTTAAACAGAACAAACCGAATATTACTAGATAAGATATAACACGAATCTTTCTTAAAATAATAACATTATAAATTTTCAATTAAAATCATAAAATTTGAATATTATAAGAATTTAACGATATTATTACTTCAAATATGTTGATTACGAAAAATATTGTAAAATTCTAAGCTACATACAAATACAAATGTTTCTAAAACAAATCGTTTGATACAAAATAGTCACACATTTATGATGATCTCTGCCATCTACTATGTCTTACTGCTTATGGGCAGTCATCTGTTTAAAAAGTTCAATGAAAAAGTCAGCTTTTCTTTATAGAACTTGAATTATACGAATTCAATTTTTTATAAAAAATTTCATAGTATAACGAAAGACTTGGATCTACTTTGTTTTGTGTCATTTCTTCTTACTTAATTTCATTATATAAAGAATATTTAAGAGATTTGAAAGTGGAACATCTGTAATGATAAAGCGTATTTGCATGGCATTTGCATTGTATTGTTTTTAGAATATCTAATACATGAGATAAGGAACGTATGCAATCTATAAAAAAGATCCTGCAAAGTGAGTAATATTTTAGTCGTGAGCTAACACGGTTTTGTCACGTTCGTATTTTTAAGAATATACATCTTTCAACTATATAAATGAACAGAAAATTCGCTTAAGACTACAACGGTTGCGGAGTGCACAACAAAGTACATCTAATAATATAAAAGTAACGACTTTAATTAGAGTATAAGTGGCATAGAAAATATAGCAAAGAACAAAATGTTACGTTCAAGTATTTGGGTTGGACTGTTGATTTTGTATGGAACAATCTTGGCAGAGGTAACGTAAATTTGTAATATTCCTCAATTAGGTATTATAAAGATATGGAAACAAATTGCGAACATGTGCTTGTTAAATAACATTTTTGAGAATAATTTATTTTGCTATAATGTTTTATGTACCATATACGTGCTAATTAGAATAATAAAACTCAGGTTTCCGTAACAATTATTCATAATATATTATTTCTGTATTTTACTTTTCAACATAAAAATTTAATCATTAGATGTATTCCTGTATTATTAAAAAGATATTTTTATTGTCAAGCTAAAGAAACATCTTACTTATAGGCCTTATAGCGTAAATTTTATTGAACATATAATGTATTTTCCAAATTAAATATATCAGTTTAATCAATTTAGATTTTCTAAACGCAAATTTATAATAAAAAAAACATTAATTCTAATAAATCAATAAATTCTAATTTATATAATTTAAAAATTTTAATAATAATTTTATTTAATTTAAGCAAAAAAAATATCTTTAAAAATTATAAGATGTTCCTGTAATGATTGGCGTGCTTGACAAAATTAAAATTGAGAGAGAGAAAGAGAAAGAGGGAGAAAAAGAGAGAGAATATATAATTACTAATAAATTAATAAATTATACTATTTAGGATATGGTGCCGTATGACGGATTACATCATTACATCTCACACGCGACTGATCAAACTTCACGAACCGGAAGATTTGGCTTCTCTGCTCTAAATGAGATACGTCAAAGTTTTTGTCGCTCATTTTGCACATCTGCAGATACCATGCCGTATCTCCTAAATTTCTTGTGTGCTGCAAAATGTCCGGAATTATATTTACCGCATCATACTACAACAACATCGATGTCGACGATGTCAACTTCAGTCACTATGCCAACTGCAGTCAACAAGTCAACTACAGTAAAGAATCCAGTGATGCAGACCGGACAAAATCCAAGTCCAGCGTCTCCGACCGGACAAAATTCAAATCAAGGGCCTCCGCCCG